GGGAATGGGATGTGGGAACGGCAGCACAGCCTCGACTCCCGGCTGCTCAACATGAAACGGTGAGGGAAATCCCGGGAAAATCCGGGAAAATCCAGGAAAAATCCGGGAGAAAATCCGGGAAAAAATCCGGGAAAAATCCGGGAATGAATCTGGGAATAAACCCCCAGGGAATGTGGGAATGGGATGTGAGAACGGCAGCACAGCCTGGACTCCCGGCTGCTCACCATGAAATGGTGAGGGAAATCCCGGGAAAAAAACGGGAAAAATCCGGGAAAATCCGGGAAAAATCTGGGAAAAATCTGGGAATGAACCCCCAGGGAATGGGGGATGGAATGTGGGGATGGGATGTGGGAACGGCAGCACAGCCTCGACTCCCGGCTGCTCACCATGAAACAGTGAGGGAAAATCCCAGGATTTGGGATAAAATCTGGGAATAAATCCAGGATAAAATCTGGGAAAAAATCCGGGATAAAATCTGGGAATAAACAGCCAGGGAATGGGATGTGGGAACAGCAGCGGCACAGCCTGGACTTGCGGCTGCTCACCATGAAACGGTACAGAAAAATCCCAGGATAAATCCCGGGATTTGGGATAAAATCTGGGAATAAATCCAAGAATTGGGGATAAAATCTGGGATTAAATCCGGGAATGAATCTGGGAATAAACAGCCAGGGGATGTGGGAATGGCGGCAGCGCTGCCTGGACTCGCAGCTGCTCAACGTGAAACGGTGCGGGAAAATCCCGGAAAAAATCCGGGAATTTGGGATAAAATCCGGGAATAAATCTGAGAATTGGGGATAAAATCCAGGAATAAATCCAGGAATAAATCTGGGATTAAATCCAGGAATAACAGCTGGGAATTCGGGATAAAATCTGGGAATAAATCCAGGATTAAATCTGGGAATGTGGGAAGGGAATGTGGGAATGGCAGCAGCACGGCCGGAACTTGTGGCTGCTCTCCCAGAAACTGTATGGAAAAATTCTGGGATAAAATCTGGGAATAAATCCGGGAATAAATTTGGGAATAACAGCAGGAATCTGGAAATAACACCTTGGAAATCTGGGAATGAAATCTAGGAATAAAAGCCAGGAAATCTGGGAATAACAAGCAGAAAATCTGGGAATAAAAACCAGGAAGTCTGGGAATGAAATCTGGGAATAAGAGCCAGGAAAGCTGGGGACAAAAATTGGGAATGAACCACAGAAATCTGGGAATAACGACCCCAAATCCGGCATTTTCCCTTTCCCCGACCCCAAATCCATCATTCCCCTCCCAAATCCCAAATCCCGATTTTGGGATCAGCCGCCGGGCGGGGCCGTCCCGCCCCTCCCCGTTCCCGGAACGATCCCGTTGGGAATTCCCGGCGCCACGATCCCATAAAATCCCATAAATCCCGGAATTGCCTCCCCATCCCGGCCGGCGATCCCGAAAAATCCTTTGGGATTTTTCCCAGCTGCTCCCGCCCCGATCCTTTATTCCCCTCTGCTCATCCGTGCCCGGCTCAGCTGCCATCCCAATCCCGAAATTCCCTCGGGATCTGGGGCTCAGCTGCCATCCCAATCCCGAAATTCCCTCGGGATCTGGGGCTCAGCT